AACTTTCTTAACCTTACGCTTCACACTCCTTGAATTCCACGCACAGTATGAATATCTCTGCCTGGACTTAGGGGACTGATGTGAAGTACGGAAAATTAAAACTTTTTTCTGACTTACTGAAAGTCCACGCCTGACATAAATGACTACACATGGACTTAGGGGACTATTGTTACGAGTCATAATATAGAAGCGACACGTGGCACCATATTTCAGTGGTGGGACCAGTTTACTTAGGTCAGGATGTGTTCTCTTAGCCTCCGACGTGGATTCCGAGGCCTTGGCTATTGTTCTGAGGCCCTCAAGACAGTTCCTATGCCTTCACTGCCATCCCAGGCCCAAGCCTCGCGTGGAAGAAGACCACATGGAAAGATATTGCAATGATGAAAGATCCGTGTGAATGATTGACGTGACTTTTGTATAAAGTAAACTCTGTCTTGTCTTGTCAATTGAAGAACATTTAATGCTTTGTAAGGTTAGGAGAGTCAACTTGATGGCTAGGATTTGATGTTTTGGCCGAGGAGATGAGGTCACGTGTAAATTGATCCAAATGTCATTATTCGACTTGTAACACTATAAATACCCCAACATGTAACACAAAAAGGATAATGAAACTTCTTATACCAAATATAAAGAATACTGAATACTTGGAACAACATTTCTCTCGTTTCAACAGTGATTCTTACAACATATTTTCTACTACAAATCGTTCTTCATCGATTGGTTTCTTATACAATCGTGTCACACTTCTTGCCGGAAGCTTGAACGGAAACGTCTCGTGCCTTTGAGCTACTCCCACGCCCATTTTCTGGAGCCATCTTAACCGTTGATCGGCATTAGCGTGTCGGATCAAGCTCGCGTGTGCACGAGTGGGGCGGCATATGTTGGCAACATTTTTTGGGGTCAAAAATCATTACTGTTCATCTCTGCAGCATGACCACTTGATGAAACTGGATGGAAGTAGATTAATTGACCGTGAAAATAATTTCTAGTAAATCGAAGTTTTTTTTGAAAGTCCGTTTCAATTCATGGTGATTAGTTTGTCATCCACAAAAAATCCTTGAGGTCCACAAAAATAAGAAAACATTCAGAAAATTCCAACTAGGACGACGCAATGTAGATCACCCACGTGTCACCAAACCAACCTGGGAATTAGAATCAAAGTGCAATCCTTTCGAATCCCAGTTCTGAATCCCCGTTGAGCAAAATTTGAACTGAAAATGGCAGCTACATTTGCAGTGCCTGCACCAAAATCTTCAATTTTGCAGAACCCATTAGCTTCGAGAGAACTCAATACTGGATTTGTTAGTGGATTGCCATTAAAGGGTCTTTGTTTTCAGTTGAAACCCAGAAAAAATAGAGGTGGAAATGATGTCACTTTGGTGGTTTCCGCCGCTTCAAGCACCGTTAGCGGCGGCGATGGTGGTGGCAGATTTTACTTCAATTTCACTGGGTTTCCGTTTCCTCTTGGCCCTTTTCTCAACAGGCGGACTATCAGATACGAGGTTAGCTTTGTAATCGGAACAATTCCTCTTCGTTTACGCTGTGTATTGTTATTGATTTATCTCAATATATTGAACTCGCTAGGTTAATCCTGATTTTGATTTTTTGTGGGTATTTATTGGTTGAGCATGTAGCTGATTTTCTAGTCTTTTAGCACTTACGAAGAGTTATTCGCTTTTAGACGAGGTTGTAAAAATTCTAAGAATGAGATTTTCCACCACCCATTTGTGAAAATTTTGCACTCGTAATTTCCTTTTAAATAAGAAAAATCTTTACTGTTTACATGTGATGTAATGAGTAAATACTAAATTTAATTAAATGTGTTTCTAATCATATAAGCTTTTCAGATGAGATGATCATTAGTTCACACAGTATTGTTGGATAGATAATCATAATTCCAAAGCTCGAATTTTTATTTAGAGTGGCTGATCAAATATATGGGCATTACATTGTTTCACATATATTCACTCATTTATTCAACTTCACTGCCAAGTGGGATCTTAATTTGGAGGATGATGATTTCAACTTTTGATAATAAATTATGAACTTGTGGACCAAAATATTTTCGGTTGTTGCTTTGTGCTGGGAAAACGAGTGATTTGTGGGTAGATTATCGATTAACATAAGTATAAATAATATAATTCAACAATAAGTATATAACTCAATATAATATAAACATGAGAAGTGATTTAGAAAGCGAGCTTTATGGAGTCACATTAAGGACGATGTCCTAAAGTAGTGTTGCCTTCCCTTCTTGCATGTACTTTTAACACTACATGGCTTTAAGATAAAAAATCATATAACTCTTGCCTTTCATCTGAGATTTCATGTGTTGGGCATATGCATCAATTGAGCTCTTGCATTTCACCTGAAAATCTACACATTCATTTTTTAAAATTTCCAAATTTAGATTTTCCAGCTAAGAACAATAAATAAGGTGCATCTATTTGAAATTTTAAACATCCCCACTTTTCAAATATATGATTTTTTTTTTATTTAAACACAATAATTCATCATCAAATAATGTACCAATATTCATACGTACACATCACATATATGAGTGACTATATTAAATTATTAATTATCATCATCGGGGTTATCAAGTTGATGTCAACGTTCATGAATATTTAGCACACATATATCCAAAAATTTTAATACCACATAACTTTTGGAACTTCTTTTACATAATGAAATTATCATTAGGATGATAACTTGCGATGCTCTCATTGCATACCTATCCTTTTCAATTGACAAGAAATTCTTTACGCTTTATATATGCATTTGGAATTTGTCTATATCAATTATCATACATATCGAATTTCCTTCTGTGCAAATGAATTAAAAGCAAATCTTTAGTAATTTGCTTAAGTTTATACATATATCATTTAACTGAAGAAATCAAATAATGCTACAAAACACCAAAACAATTACCGACAAAATCAAACACACACTTAAAACTTAGATTATATTACTCAAGTATAGTCTTTAAGACTAACAAACTAAAAAAGGTATTCATTATTATTCAAATAATAAGTCTAATAATTTTAGCAAACATATAATGCATTCACATACGCCAAATCTAGAAAATGCCTTTAAAAAATGATGATCACGCCATATTAGATTTAAACTACAAGCAAATCACCAACACGACTTTAGATACTAGAAAATGCCTTTTAAATTTGATGATCACGCCATATTAGATTTAATCTACAAGCAAATCACCAACACGACTTTAGATTATTGGAAAAACGAATGATTTGTGTGTAGATTATTGATTAAAATAAAAATTATAAATTAGAATTCAACAATTAACATATAACTCAATAGAACATAAACTTGAGAAGAGATTTATAGCTTGTTTGGGAGGAATTTTTGAGGGAAGAATTGATTTTTGAATAGTGATATGATGGGAAATGTGTGATTGGAAAAGAAGAAAAAATTATTGATGTGATGGAAAATATTATTTTATTGAAGAATGTGTGGTTGAAAATGAGAAATCAGAAGGTATAAAGTTGAAACCAGATGCTGATGCACTTCTTTTAATATTTAGTGCTTGTTTGGTGGAGATTTTTGAGGGAAGAATTGATTTTTGAATAGTGATATGATGGGAAATGTGTGATTGGAAAAGAAGAAAAAATTATTGATGTGATGGAAAATATTATTTTATTGAAGAATGTGTGGTTGAAAATGAGAATTGATTTATCGTAAAATTTGAGAATCTCTCCCAAACATCCCGTTAGAAAGCAAACCTTAAGGAGTCACGTTAAGGATGTCATCCTAAAGTTGTATTGTCTTCCCTTCATACGGGTACTTTCGACACTATACGGCTCCAAGATAAAACTCATATAGTTCACATTCGGTTCTCCATCCGTGGGCACGACCACAAGGAGATAAAAGAACGAGTCTTTATCGAGTTTCCAAAACTATAAAAATATAGTATGAAATATAGAGGGAGTATTTTTGTATTCAAGTACTCAAGCTATATGCAAATTATAAATCTCCTCCCTTTTATTGTGTAAAACTTAACCCCCACAATAATGAGAATTATTCCAATTAAAATATAAATTGCACTATGAAATTAAAATGACAACTGAAAAATAAAAAGGGTTTTAATTTTGAAATTTTAACACTTTTATTTTCTGTTACAACACTTTGTTCATGGCAAGAATATCTGAAATAGAAAGAGAGTTCATGAGAGTTCTGAAAGGAGCCATTCAATAATTACAGGTTCATTCTTTGGACAATTAGGGTACTATTATTTTTCAATGCTCTTTATACAGTTACAATCAAGTGCATTTGCAAATTCTGCATTCAAACGCAGGTGACTAATGATTCTATTATGCAATGAACAATGATAATCTCTGCTTTTTAAAATAATCTTAAGCTAGTTTTTTGCACTTTATTCTTCGCGTAATTTTCATTTCCCTGTTGCCTTAATAAAATAGTTGACTAAATTACTAAAATGTTGGTTATTGCATTTTTGTAATCGTATTTTTAGTTAATTAAATAAATTGGCACGAGAAATTGGGGCATTGTAGCTTGTCAGTCATCTGAAAGTGGGAACAAGATAAACATTGTTACATGTTTTAGTTCACAAAATTGTCTCAAGCTTAGAAGGAACGAAGAGAAGGAAGACAAAGTAAAGGGAGGGAAACGAAACTTAAAGCTTCCGTCATTCTTCAAAGTTCAAAAATGGGATTGGGATCAAGTAATTCTTTGAAGCGTAGCATGCAGTTCTTGTGTGTGAACCAAGGAAAAACCAAACAATAGACATTTGATCATGTTTGATGGGACCTCATCATTATCAATACCAATTGTTTTTGTTTAAATTGGTTTCGAATGATCATAGTAGCTTACTTTCTCACTCATGCTAGTCAAAAACTTCCCTTAGAACATCAATGTCCTTCAATGAAATCTCGATTCCCACAATAGATTTGAAATATGAGTTGCGAGCAAACTAACCAAAGAAAAGAGAGCTTTAAAGAACCAGTCCTGCAAAATTTCGCTTATCTGGATGTTCATTTTCATCTCCTCCTGGCTCCCATTTGGGTCTTTCTCGAAGTAAAATAAAAAAAATTGAGTTCATGTTCATTTTACTCCCTCACAAGACACAAGACATGTATTTAAGATATATTACAGACTTACAGTAAGCTGTTAGCCGGTTCTTGGTACGACAAGGGAGTGTCACTAAATCTGAATGATGCAGCTAGATCGAGGCAACTACTATGATGATAACATGCCAAACCTTTTATGTTCTAACACGTAAAAATATATTTTGAAGAAGTTCGTTAAGTATCCAAAGGAACTGGGCACTGATATTTTTGTTGTTTCCTTACATGTGTGGATTGTAGTGATAAATCATTGTACTATTTGCATCTTAAACGTGATTTCTTTCCATTTACAAGATTAAAGGGATAATCATGCAAATGTTTAAAGTGTTTTAGTAACTCTCCTATCTGTTAAATATCAGGCTGTGAAAGGTAGCGTATGGCTATTCGAACAAGAGCAAGCACTGGGCTTCAGCAGTGTCTCAACAAATATTCGGATGACGGTTATCAAGCTCAAATCTGGTGGATTATGGGTTCATGCACCAATTGCTCCAACCAAGGAATGCATCCAGGTCTTTTTCGTCTACTATTCTCATGCTTCAAAAGTACTTGAAAGACAAATTTGCTGCTGAATTTATTGTACCTAAATTATCCTATTCTCACCTAGTTTTTAGAATTTTACAAATGAGAAATTCTTGGCTGTTTCTCCATGGGCTTCTATGCGGTATTTATATCTCAGAGAGTAAAACCAAGGATTAAGCATTTTAGATGCATCTACTACGAAGTAAAATTTTCTTTTGGCAGCGAATGCGAGATTCAACGTTACTTATTAGCTAATAATGCCATAAATTATGGGGCATATATATGCAGCAGCACTTCTGTCCATCAGTTATGAATTTCAGGTGACATTCATAAACATAATACTTACTAGTATATGCCTCTCTGTATTTTTCAGCTTGTGAAAGAGTTAGGAGCTCCAGTGGAATATATTATCCTGCCTACATTTGCATATGAGCATAAAATATTCGTTGGTCCATTTTCAAGGAAGTTCCCTAAGGCTCAGGTATGGGTGGCACCAAGACAATGGAGCTGGCCTTTGAATTTGCCACTCGAATTTTTTGGGATATTCCGTGCCAAAACATTGAAAGATGAGGATTTGTCGACGCCATGGGCTGATGAAATTGAACAAAAAGTCCTAAGCTCCCCTGAAGTTGGTAATGCACTTTGCTTGATATTGAGTAAACATAATTTGTCTTTTGAATAACTCTTAACCCGATATGTACTTCCTTTTATGGTGGAATATTACAGGAATTGGACCATATGTTGAGGTAGCATTCTATCATAAGCGTTCACGGACACTGCTAGTAACCGATGCTGTGATATATGTCCCTAGACAACCACCTGAATGTATTAGCAAAGAATCGTTATTAGCATCCGCAAAAAATGGTTTAGCTGTCAAAATTCTTAGTAAAGGAAAGGAAGTCCCTGAAGAACCCGTTGTTGACAACAACATGAACCGACAAAAGGGTAAGTTCTCCACTGCAGTTTGAGCACCTTTTTAATGTACTTGAATCCGGAATGATATTAAGAACAATAATCAAGCAATGTAAAAGTGCTCATCTAGAACCTTTTTAAGTTGAACCGTGATTCCATTTCTGGTGCAGGATGGGAAAGAATGGTTCTTCAGATCTTGTTCCTTGGTCCCTCAAATCTTTTGGAGCCGAATGCTAGCTTTTCTCAAATGTCACAGAAGATTATCGTTTCGCCTATTGTTAAGACTTTAGTGTTCAGTAAAGTACCTGAAAAGGCAAGTTAATTTATTGTTAAAACTTATTCACTTTAAATTCTCATAGAAAATAAAAGATTTCAATTTCTTTGTCTTCCTACAATTTTGTTTAATCCACCTTACCTGACATGCTATAAGTGCTTGTTTGATATATATATATATATCATAGCATAGGATTGCTGGAAAGCATAATAAAATAGATTTTAGCTTTTTTGTCGTCCTTGTTATCGTCTAGTACAATCCAATCTCCCTACTGAGCATGATATAAATGTGCTCCATTGCCATGATATGTTTATCATGGACTTTTAGATATTAATAACAACCAAATACATAGATAGTATAGTTCCATGTAGGTAAAATGAAATTATATTCTTGAATCATTGACCTATAGAGCTTTCTAAGTTTCCTGTTTTCCATGTTTCTTTGAAATTTCAGGTCAGAGATTGGATTGATAGAATCGTTCGAGACTGGAGGTTCAAGAGAATAATCCCTGCTCATTTTGCTGCCCCAATCAACGCAGGCAAGTCAGACTTCTTAGGAGCATTTGCATTTCTTGACGACCTCTTGGGTGAGCGCTATGTCACGCGGCCTTCCCTGTCCCTTCTATTCACGTCGCTTTTGGGAAAGGCGGCCAGTTACTTCCCTCCAGATGACATGAGGACCTTATCGTCTCTTGATCAGTTCTTGGTCTCTGTAGGAGCTGTGAAGAAGACTGTTTCAGGTCGGAAGAGATGATAAAACCCGAAATACGATTCCTGGTAAAATTTTGTATATGTGTATATATATATATATATTATACTTCATATGAATAGGGTGCTATTTTACAGATCCTGTCTTTTGTTTGAACTCCAAAAAAAAAATATGTAAACGTCAATCCCTTGCACTGAATGCTGATTCTGTTAGTTTTATAATTTGAAAAAGAAAAGAAGGAACTCACTGAAAAAGATGGATAGTGCTAATTTACATTAAGTTATTATAATTCTCAAAGTTTGCCAAGTCAAAAACAATTATCATGAAACATCAAAATGTTAAGTGGATTTACTGCTTTATACTAAGAAATTAAAGAATGGTGGATCTGTGATCTTGAGCTACCACCATATATCCCCTTGATCTGTTCCCGAGAGTACCTAAAGAGAAATAGTTTCTCTCTCCAGCCATTTCATATCAGGTTAAGAAGATCTAAAAATGTGTTCAGCTATTGCTCTTGTCAAAGCCAGAAAACATGATTGGGTTCTAAGGGCTATTAACTGTTTTATATCGCATTAAGAAGACGTGAAAACGTGTTATTGCATTTGTCACAGCTAGAAATATTTTTGTATTCCAGGATTATTGATAATAAATAAGGTTTATCAACTGTTATTCTTTACTTTTTTGCATTGAATTTAGTTAGCCCCTGAAATTGGAATCAAGTCTTAAGGTCCAACACATAATCCTCACACCCCTGTTTCAGATTCTAAGCTTGTTATTCTATTTAAAATGGTAAAAAAGCACTATTTTCAATCACTCGCGATTTCAAAACTTTAGTGCAGGCACATTCTGATGGGATCTTATATTTGGAAAAAGTAACAGAAAGCTGATAGAACAAAAGCAGAGTTTGTACCGATCAGGGCATCTTGTAAGATTTCTAAGTAGTTTGTGTTTAATATAAATTTGAATAACGTCCTATCTCAAATATTTTTAATCTTTTAGATAAGCTAGATTAACGTAGTATTACAATTTCACGAGAGAATAAGAGTCAAATTTCGCCATCACAATTGTTGTGTTTCAAGCCTTTATAAATACGTGTGATGAATGTGTTTGATTGACTTTATTTTTTATGAAATAGATCATTTTTTTAATCCAAATTTTTACTATTGAGGTGTTTGATTGACAATTTTATTCATGAAAATATATAAATTTCATGCTGACAATCAGTTGTACCCTAAAGTAAATACTTTTGTTCGTGTCTTACTCATCAAACACAAGTGTCGTGTCAACAATGTTATGGAAATTATGCATTTGTAGTGGCGAAGCTACATGGGGTTATGTGGGATCCATTGACCACACTAGACTTTCGAATTTTTATTTTTTTATTTTACTTCCCTCTAAAATTTAAATTTATATCCACTCTCTCTTTTGAGCACTTTGGATTACTTATCCTTAGACGGCACAAATTTGAAATCATCAATTAATTTCTTATTCTTTCCCAGTACCTGAGATTGCCAATTCCATCAAAATTTAATGTTAGCTGCTGCTCAGCTCACTGACACTCGTGGTAACCACAAATATTCATTAGATATCATTTGTTCTCATCTCATGCATAGTTATAAAACCCGGTTCGGACCGGTCGATTGGGTCAAAAAACTTGTGACCTAGGCCCTTGCCCGAGTTGGGTAGATTAATTTAATATGAATAAACATGATTCGATCAAAAATCAGCTGTGATCGAATTAACCAGCGATTTTGACTGAGTTAACCCGACCGGTTTACCGGTTTTCAAAATTGCTTTTTAAAATTTTCGGGGATTCAAGGGTCAATTCCTTGGACCTCCAAGTAAAACAATTAGTTCATAATCATTGGAGTTGTAGAGTACTTCAATATTTTTTTGCCTAAATTTTTTTTATACTTTAATTTTTTTTTTATAGATTTTTATGCAAATGACTCACCGGTCCGATCAATAACCGAGACCCAGTACTTTGTCTCGGTCGATGTTCGAATCGGGTCTAATAATTATGATCTCATGTCCCAACCTACCGTTAGTATTACGTTATTTCAAAAAAATAAAAATAAAAAAAATATCACTTACTTTTTGATCCCACAATAAAAAATGCTCGACTCTACCACTATGCTTTTGTTTAATGAAAACAAACATGACTCGTACGTGAAGTGGCAAAAACTTCGTATTTTGAAAAAAAAAATGAAAGCAACTTGCATGTTTCAATAGTAAGTAACAATCAAATTATATCTAATCATAAATGTAGCTAACACATCATCAAATGTTTTTGTTGATATTGAAACCTTGATGGTCCCCGTCAACATCATCTATTTGCAAAAATAAAATAAAAAATCTGTAACACAGTTAAAGCTGGTAAGCTTAGTTCAATAGAATGGCAAAAATTCTACATAATTTTAGGTAACAACTAGAATCGTAACTATCGTGATCATCCGAATTGACGTTTTAAAAATTGCTTCAACGATTGACCTGAAAAACGTAAAGGGTCAACGAACAATGAGTCAGGTTAATAGACATGCAAAAAATTCTTCTTAGAAAACGAGGTTCCGGATCCTCCAATTTTTAGGAATCTTTTAAATATACTATACACGTGAAAAATGAATGCGGCCCACAAGCAAGTGATGTTTGGTTGGAGGGTGACCCTCCTTTTGACAAATCTTTATCTACCAACAACAACTTAGGTGAGAGAGTTCATTCATACTTGATAAAGGCAAAGTTGGTCCATTTTAGCCGCACTTCAAAACGCACGTACCCACCTTTTCTTATTATGACTATGCAAAGAACATCATTTGATCCAGAGCACGATGGATTTTCATTTGTGTGGTGCACAAAAAGAGAGAGAAGGGAATCCAAAGTTCTATTTCGAGAAGACGAGATAATATTAGATGGTACTATGAAAAAATGAAATTAAAATCTTTATCTTTTTATACTCAAATGAGTATTTGAGTCCCAATCAAATTTTTTTATTTGCATTTGGGTTTTCAAACTGTCGAGTGTTGTACCATTTGGTTCGATCTATCAAAATCATAAGTTGATTATGTATCTAGCATGTGACACATTTGGTTTGAGACTCAAAATAAAATACCACAAATAAAGTCTTGCTAATGTGAAGAAGACCAATTTTTTCGAGCACCAAAAATTTGGCAGCGGGTTTATTCACATTTCATTTGACGATTTTGTATTTATTGAAAATTAGCCCCTGTTTGACAATTATTTTTTTTCAAACTCTTTTTTCTATATACTCATCTTCAACTACACATTCGCACAGTAAAAATATGTTACACTTAAACCCACAAATTTTTCTTACTTTTGAACTACACATTCTCCAAAAAATCACTATTCAAAACTCTATTTTTCAAAAAAAAGATAGTTGCTATCTTGAATATAAAATAAAAAATACTTGAATATTTCCTTTATGGTTGAAGAATAAAGCTATTGCAGCAAAAGTGAGATAGACTGTTGAACAAGATAATATAAACAAGAATTTGCCAACATCTAAGAATTTCTAAGCTTAACAAACAAACAATAAAATATTTCCAACCTAACTGTTTACCAACAAGCTTCTTATTTCTAATTTCTACATTACTGTAAAATCATGCATGAACAAATTCAATAGCTTGCCTTGAATTACAACATTTTATTAATTAATCTAGAATTTGTGATTCATTTTTTTATATGTTTATCATACAACAGGGGCGGACCCACATGGGGTCATGTGGGGTCAAATGACCCCACAATTTTATTTTTTTTTGAGTTTTTTTTTTTTTACTTTTTCCCCATTATTATGTATGTAAGATTTAAACCACCTAGCTAGAAAAATGATGCCAAAAGTAGTGTCAGAATTCTAGATGACAAGAGTTGATTTGATGAAAAAGACGACTTTGTTTTAAACAGTCAATGATAGAATATCATGTAATATTATGTTAACTATTATGTCAATTATTATAACACTGTAGTATAGTTCAAAATTTAATCCATTGATCACTCATCTATTCTAATGGTTACCTATTCATCAATGATTTGAAATTCATTATTCTCAAATTGGCGAAAATCATCACGTGCCCGACAAAATTGACGGAAAAAATTATAGTAGTTATCGTGCCAAGTGTTTCCACGACCAAAGGTCAAGCGATCGCTGAAAATTAATAACAGTGACAACTATATGGTCGCTAGTTGAGTGTCATATTCATCGACCACCTTCTTTGGTCGGTGAAAATGCTAAATTTAAGTGAAAAATCATGCGTTATTTTACGTACCAAGTGTAATGACTTTGTCAGTTTGTCTAACTTGGTGATTTAAAATAGAACTGTTTGTAAGTATTTTCTGCAATGAAAATTGTCAAGAATCGACTGCGTAGTCGGATGAGAGATCAATGGTTAAGTGAGTTTGGTCGCATATATTGAAAACGATGTATTTAACAATATTGATAACGATATAATTATACGACATTTTTAGGGTATGAAAACGCGTAGACTACAATTGTAATAGCGTATTGACTTATTTTCGTTAATGATATGTAGTTTTAAATATTTTTGAATTATCATTTTTAACCCCACAAGACAAATGGTCGGGATCCGTCCCTATCGTACAAGATAACATATTACTAAAAACGCTTGTAACAAGACAAATAAAATTAAGAAAATTATTGTTCTTATATTCTCATGCATTATAAACGATAAGTTTGGTATGTTTTACAACGTTAGAAGAGATTACACAATTCACTTTTTTTCTTGAAAAAAACACTAATATATTTCCATTTTAGTCTTACAAACAAGGAAATAATTTCAAAAATTTATATTTGATAAAAATAAATAACTTTAAAAAAAGAAGAAAATCTATTATATACATTTTTATTTTTTAATTATATTTAACAAAATAAATAACTTAAAATGGAGTAAAGAGAAGAATCCTAGTCTATTATAACACTATTCCATCTCGATCTAATAATTATAAATAACTTAGACCTGCCAAATAATGTATTTTCCACCCTATGTTACCCACCCCACGACGCACCCCCTCTCTGAACTAAGCCAAGACTGTCACAAAGAAACGCGCAAACTCACACAAAAAGCCCTGTCATAGAACCTCCCAGAAGACAAAAAATGGTACAGACGTAATATACGTTGCTTGCACGTTCTCTCTAAAAGATCAACGGAAATTGTTCAGATACAAAAAGGTGGGGTTCTTATTCTTCTTCTGTTTCAAATTTTATTGTTCCTCATTCAATTCGTCTGTTTGTTAACGTATTTCGTTCACTTCGTTGTTAAGCATAGATATAAATAAAGGAGAAGAGGGCCAGGAAAAGGGGAAAAGGTACGCGGATTGTTCAGTTTCTTTTGTTCCCTTATTAAATGCCTCATTGAAGAGCCTTTTTCTTCTTTTTTTTTATATATATAATAAAGGTTATGCATTTTTCTGTGTTTTGGAATATGGGCTTTGATCAGTGATTACTTTTTGATGAATTTTATGCCTTTTAATTGATTGTACTGTACTTTTCTTAAGCGTATTTTGGTGGGTTTTCTCGCTTGATTTTCTCTGTATTTTATTCTTCCTGATTTGCATTTGGATGATTGTTCAGGAGATTATCTGTTTGCAGCTGGTGATTGGGAATACGGGAAAATAAGAAGAGATTAAAAGGTATGATTTCACTGTGATTTTTGTTTCATGTTGCTATTTTTCTGTTGTTAATTGTATTTTTAGAAATATTTACTAATGCTTGATAGATTGAAAAGGGTGAAATGTTGGAAAGGTAGATTGTTCAATGCTTATAATTTAGCGAATTCAGATTCTTGTTCTTAAATTGACAAAGAAACATTCAATAAAGTGGTTAAGAGTTTTCTGTTGAATTTCATTTAATGGAGCTTGTTTGAAGAAAATATTTAGCCTCATCAGGAAGTTATTAAAGATTCAAACACTTCTTTCTTGGTTTTTTGACATAGACATTAACAACATTCTTTTGAAAACATATTTGGTTATATGTTCTTAATTTTGTTTTTCTTTTACTGTTTCAAAATTGTACCTGTGTTCTTCATCAGTAGCATATGGTGGAAGAAGAAACTGAAAGCACACGCTTTTATGAATTGAAAAGAGATGAAATTTATGGTTTCCAGCTGCTTTTGCAACCATTTGAATTTTACATTTCTTTAAAAGTTTCAAATTGTTGAGTTAGCTGCATTTGTCTAGATTCGATTCTTATTTCCAAAATGTATCCTATCAAAGAAAATTAATTATGAATATTTTAATCCTTTTCTCTGGTACTGCAATTTGTCAACTAAATATTTTAAATGTAGGTTTTCATTCTTCTCAATTTGTTGATTTCTATTACTTTATGTTATGGTGAAATAATCAACTCCTAGTGAGCTGAAAAACTAATATTGGGGTATGGGGAGAAGGAAAAAGTGGTGTTCATTATCTGGAAAGCGAAAATTGAGTACCTTCTGGAAATAGTGTTCTACTGAAGTGATAATGAATTTCCAGTTTAGTGTGTGTCGTAATTATTACTGATATTTTCTTTCTGTTGCAGGGCTTTAAAAGTTTCTAGCCTTCTACGCTTTTATGGCTGCAGAAAATATTGATTCGGGGATAATTCCAGAAACAAATGAATTCGACAGAGAGTATGTAGGAAAGGGCTCTTTCAGAAATTCAGATTCCTTAAATAATGGGCACAGTACTAATTCTGATCGCCGCAGAGCATCCATGGGCTTGTATCGTGCTGGAGACGATTCAACTAGGAACTCTACTGGAAACCTGGATTCTTCAAATAATAGCCAACATGCAGTTCCTCATTATCTGAGAGCTTCAACTGGTTCTTGCCATGATTTCTGCAAATATGGTAGAAAACATGCATTTGAAGAGAAGGCGAGGCGCCCTTTTCTGAAGAGAATGACAAAACCTGAGTCAAACAAACAGAGTCCTGTGAAGACGACAGTTCCGGCTGAGATAAAGAAGGTAATGGTTATCGAGCACAAGCTGTCCCCTGAATGCAAAATTCATTCTGCCAATGTGAAATCATATTCACCAAAGAACAAGCCATTCTTGGAAGCCAAAATTCATTCTCCAAATAAGAAGACTTCCTCTGGTATTAAAACCAGTATACGAAAACACAAGCCTTCACCTATTACCAAAGCCTCCTCACTAGATCCCCCGGAAATTATCAAGCGGGAAATTTCGTCGCCTTCTACAAAAGTTGAAGTGGGACAGAAACGTGATACCTCAACTGACAATAAGATGCCAAGAGATGAGAAGAAAACAAATAATTTGTCCAAGAAACATTCTCCTTCTGTGCAGTTGAAACCTGTGAAGGTGAAACCATCATCCTCGCCGTCTGGCACTTTAGATGTTATACATGGGAAAGGCAGAAAAAGCTGCGATGTCAAAATTGGCAGAAAGATGGCAGCACATAAATTATCTGATGGGAAAAAAGGGGCACCTCCCACTGCCTCTTTGTCCCCTAAAATTTCCCTCTCTAGAACAATATCCTTGAAATCAAGAAGAGCCAGAAGCTTAAAACCTGTGTCTATGCTAAAAGATCAAAATATGATGTGCAAAACTGAGACTAAGATTTCAAACGATGAGAAGGTCCCTGAGAAAACACTGCATGTCATCAAGACAGAAATTGGGAACAATTTATCTGAATTCATTCCAAATGACCACGTTATTCCAATTCCATCCCCCTCGTCACCTAAGTCTTTGTCCAATGAAAAGCCATCATCTCTGTCGTCTCAGGAAGAAGAAGAAGAAGAAGAAGAAGAGGAAGAGACTGAATACACCGATAGTGAAGCAGATGATTTTGTCTCTGACTATGATACAATTGAAGAGATTGGGGGGATTGAAACAGCGGAAGATACTAACAACAAGACTCGTAGAAAGAGTACAGTTATTTCTGAAGATAAAGATGGTACTCCTTCGAAGTTAAAGTTCAGGAGGGGAAAGGTAGTTGACCTTCAATCTGATAACAGCAGTCCTAGAAGGCTCAGATTTAGGAGGGGAAGAGTCTTGGGAGAAGACCAAAATGGCAAGGGTGACTTGAAAAGGAGAATCTTTAAAAAGGGGGGATCCAATGATGACAAAAATGGTACTGACCCTTCTTCAAAAAAATTAGTTTTAAAGCATCAAGACGTGCAGGGGAAGAAAGACGCTCAAGGTTTGTTTAATAATGTTATTGAAGAAACGGCAAGTAAGCTTGTTGTAAGCAGGAAAAGTAAGGTTAAGGCCTTAGTCGGTGCTTTTGAAACAGTGATATCTCTACAAGAAACTTAACCCTCTTCGCAGACTGTCACTTGAGTCAAAAATAAATATTTCTTCATGTTAAGCTTCTACTAATGATCCCTACATGGTTTCATGCCCATTGCTTCAAGGGGTATGTTCTTTTTTTCTTCTTTCTTAAATTTTAGAGGAAGAAACGTTTGCCTTGAGCTGTCTCATTTAACGGCTTATGAATGCTGTCTCTGACTTAATACTAGGTTTTGTTGGTTTCTTTGTCGGGTTTAAACTGAAGACAGAATGTGTACTATTGCTCGAGTGAGTGATATCCCTGATGGATATTGTATTCGTATATAGAAT